TTTTTTTGAAAGGTTTTGTGTTTCAGCTAAAGAAATCATCATTTTGGTATTATTAAATTTCAAATAGTACGATGAATTTAAAATTTTCTTAGAGAAAAATAAATATGCATAAAAATATGCAAAAAAATAATGAATTAATATTAAATTTATTGATAAATAATGAGTTATAAGGTAACCAAAAATACATGTCGCAACAACTAAATTGTGTAGTTATTTTGTACATATATTTCACATGAATAAATTCTGAGTTTTAAACAAAAAAAATATTTAAAGTGAAAGAAATCAATTTATCAATTTTATATTAAAAATATAAATTTTTGTTCGATCCACAAAATAAAAAAAAATCATGATATCATTTTATTGAATACTAAAATAGCAAACAAATCTATAACACATACCTGGGCGTAGCTCAGGTCATTTTCTAGTCTCCTTTATATAAAAGGGGAATATTTTCTGGCCTCTAAAGACCTCCACATCAGCATAAATAATATGAAAAATAATCAGCCAATAGAAATGCATAATAATGACATGTCATCTATGTTTTTGGAAAATTACGAAGCTGAATCGTTTCTTCTCCCTTCTTACCCTACCCTATAGTAAACTCTCCGTTTACACAAATCTTTCTACTAACCAAACTCAATCTAATGATACATACTCGGTTCTCCTTCCCTTTTCCCCTTCACGAAGAAAACAAAGATTCAATATGTTTTTACCTGCAGTTCTAATCCGTCGAGGCACTTTCACCCAAATCAAATCATTGCTAAGAAGAAAATCCAGAGAATAATTTCATGTCATCACAAGGTTGAAACATCGGTGAAGATTGCGTCATGAAATGTTTAAGGCCACTTATCCATGGATGAAAAGCATAAGATAGACGATCGGATGGAAAATCACTGATATCAAAATAGACGAAGGTAACTAAAAACCAGAGAACCAAGCGAAGCTGTTGTGTTAGAATTTTTGGACTAATCCGGGTATAAGCACTATGTTCGTTCGAAAGTTAGATTTTAAATTACCTTTATGCAAATAGGGGTCTCGACTTTCTATATGCAGCCATGATCGAGACATGATCATTGATGTGAAACATTTCTGTAGGAGAACCTCTCTGCTTCTAATTATCTAATGGTAAGTTATTTTTCTCTTTATGTAGTAATTAAGCCTAGATTTTAAAAAGTTTGTGACTATGTTTGCGTATATATGCTGCATACAATCATGAATTAGCTTAGGACTGTATATTTGTCTTATTTCATGGGCTAAGGTTGATGGTGCTGATATTTGTTTTTATCTACATGCAGAATTGTCTTAATCACAAAGATATATAGAAGACAAAATGTGCGATTAATATCAGGTACATACACTATCCATTTGCATGTCTTAATTTCTCTTGATTATCATTTAAAAGTTTGAAGGTAAGATATTTGATCCCTGGATAGGACTTTGAGTCCATAACCACAAAACCATCATTTCTATATACCGTTGTGATTGGTAGTTCGGAACTTCGGATACAAATTTCCATGCTAAATTGTTATGTACCAAATTCAAATTTTAACTGAGATAGATTATCAGTGAACAATTTAGGATTTCAAACTATTCTCCACTTTTTATCCACTACATATACTTTGTTTTAATGGGTCAATTGTTACTTTATAATTCCTCTGTTATTAGATTAATTATTTGCTTTAACGATATAGAATATGGTCCACCAAAGAGGACTGGGGAGATGGAATAATTGTTTTCTTTAGCATGATTTCAATAGTTAATTGGTTTAGTTACGTATTCAATTATTCACTAAGTGCTTCCTTGGTAGCATTGTTAATAAGAACACACATGTGAAGGCAACTTGAGCTATTAGTGGGTTTTTTCAGAGGATGATATTGTCACGACTGTAGTATTTGCTGTGAAAACTCACTCGCATATATCTATGTGCAGAAGGTGATCCTCAGTTAAAATCAAGAATTGGCTCGGGTAAGAAGCAAGATGATTCTCAAACAAAGTGACCTTCAATAAGACTTGCAATCCTTGAAGAAGAAAGTGAGGAATGCATAATCTGCTTGCAACTTCTTAAACAAAGAAAAGATATCAACGACCTATCATGCAACCACAAGTACGACGACAAATGCATTGTGCAATGGATCCAAATCAAGAAAAGTTTACCGATATGAGGGAAACTAAGCTTTGAAGTCTATCTTTCAATATACTAATTGCATTATCATTTCTTTTCTTTCTTTTGACCAGAAGAAAATTATTGGTTCGATAGTAAGTTCAACCATAATTAAAAATTGGCTCTATTTATTCGACCACTGGAATCACACTAAAACTTCCCATTTCAATATATGGAACATATTACAAACATAGAAGAAAGAAAATTAAGAAACTAGCAAACCAAAGTCACTGGAAATACATGGATTGCAAACATTCAAAAGCTTCTCATATGAACTGAATCGCTTGCATTAAAACTTCAATTACAAGAATCCCCAAAACATAGAACTCATAGTAAAAATTATTGAACATTGATACTCTAAAAATAATGAAGATGAAAAAAATACTTGGAGACTTATCACTAACTTATGAATCCCATGATCGAGTTCTTCAAGTTTTTTTAATCCAAAGACGAATGTTCTTAAATCAAAACCGAACACAAACATAATTCCACCACAAAAACTCAAAACCATCCCTTAACTTAAGCACAAACAAAACATCTCTGTAGTGATAGCAAAACTATCCATACCCAAACAATGTACATAACCAAAACAAGAAAACTGAATCCCTATATGAACAGTAACAGACAAATTAGTTCCTAAGAAATAATGAACCAAAGCAAATCGGATTACTCAAAAGTAAGAAAAACAAAATCAATATAATCAAAGGTCAATAGCAACACACATACAAACTATTTCAAAGCAAAGACTCCATCCACCGACATCGACGACAAAAAAGAAAAATTTGTCGATGCCAACAG